TTCAGGGTTTGGTGGTTTTAGGGTTTAGGGTTTAACGTATTTTCAGGGTTTGGGGGGTTTAGGGTTTAGGGTTTAGGGTATTTTCAGGGTTTGGGGGGTTTAGAAGGGGCTGAGGAGGGTTGTGGAGTTTGCTGTTGCTGTTGATGTGTCAGTGTTGTCACTTCCCTTATCAATATAGAAGGCTGTGTAGTGCAGAAACCAGGATCGTTTTTATATAGTCATAGTCAGAGGCACGTTATAAGTTTGAACTAGGTTGTCGGGCAAACTCTACTGCACCTTAAAGTAGAGTATACCCGAAAGCTCTATTCAATTCGTTAAGGCCCCCCCATATAAGACTCCCTGAAAAGGACACCCTAAACCCTAAACCCTAACCCTGCCTGAAAAGGAAGCCGGCCAACCAAACCACTGGACCTAACCCAGGGCCCCTGAGCTTTAATTTGAACCCTAATCCCTAAACCCCTAATCCCTAAACCGCCAAGCCCCTAGACCCCAAACCCCCTAAAGTCCTAAAACCTAAGCCCTAAACCCAAAGCCCCGCGCTGCCCCCCCTGTTTGGAATCTAAACCCGAAATCCTACACCCGCTATTCACGGTTTAAGGTTTAGGGTTTAGGGTACAGCCGCTACAAAACAACCGAAACTTGAAACAAACCCGGAAAAAGCCCAGGGAGAAGCTCCATGAAGATGGGCCTAAGGTCAGCACCTGGAGCCCATCTGGAGCGAAGCAAGCCAGAAGTGGCTCACAGAGCATCCGGGCAAGGCGAGATGTGAACCAACCCTAAACCCTAAACCCTAAACCCTAAACCCTAAACCCTAAACCCTAAACCCTAAACCCTAAACCCTAAACCCTAAACCCTAAACCCAATCGTGGGTGTAGCTGTCCTGGTTCTGGGTCCGGTCGAGGTTATCTTCGTGGTTGTTGTCGTGGTCATCGTCGTGGTGGTCCCTGTGTTCATGTGCAGTCTCTGCCGAGGATTTTGAGTGAGATGTTGATTATGGCTGTAATGGCCATGGTTGGGACCGGGAAGGAGGTGAGAATGGTGGTGATGACGATAATGATGTTGATGATGATGCTGCGATGATTGTTTTCATCTCGTATCGTCATCACCACTGAGATCACCATAGCGATGTCCATGACGATGTTGCTTGTCCTGGTGAGCGATGGCCTCTCCATGTTCAATGATGGTGGTGATGATGACAATGCTAGTGACTGCTAGTGATGACGATGATGGTGACGCTGATGATGGTGATGATGCTGATCATGTGGGTAGTTCTCTAAATTAGGGTACCTTATTTTGGGGGTCCTTATAATAAGGATCCTACTATTTAGGGTACCATGTTAGGGTCCCCTATTTTCGGAAACCCCCATGTGATGACCTCCTTGTTGATGCCGGCTTCTGAAGATGCTTGGGATGCTGTTGTGGTATATGGGAGTTTCCGAAAATTAGGGGTACCTTATTTAGGGGTCCTTATAATAAGGATCCTAGTATTTAGGGTGCTGTATTAGGGCCCCCTGTTTTCGGAAGCCCTCATATACTGCTCTGAGATCACGACTTGATGGTCGCAAGGTGGTCGTGGTTTGATGGTCACGATGATAAGGATGTTGATGGACATAAGGACGACGATGTGGTGAGGTGTGTTGGGACAGGCCGGCCACGGTAAGCAGAACCATCTACAGATGGCGCGAAGCCCGGAGCTGTTCTGATCGTCGAGCCTCAACCCTAAACACCCAAACCCCTAAAGCCCTAAATTGCAGAAGTCTGGCCCGTGCTGCAGGAAGCCGATGCAGTGCACTGGGAGCAGAAGGAGTGCTACGGAGAAGGCTTTCCGAGCTTTTGTCAATGTTGGGTTTAGGGCTTAGGGCTAAGAGTCTGGTGTTTCAGGTGTTACCTGAGACACCAGACTCTTAACCCTAAACCCGTAACCCAAACGGTGTTGAAATTTCAGATTTCGCCAGGCGTCCAGCTTCAAGTGCAGGTGAGACCCCCGGCAGGAGCATACCACGTATCGACCCATCTTAAAAGCTTAAAAAGGGGGTTTCCGAAAATGGGGACCCTAATATAGGACACTAAATAGTAGGATCCTTATTATAAGGACCCCCAAATAGGGTACCCCTAATTTTCGGAAACTCCCATATCGCTTGAGGAGGTTTCTTTGCACGGCATGTCTTCACGAGCAGTCCTGTGAGCTTTCTGTAGGCTTTGTCGCAACAATATTTGTACTTGTTTGGGCTTCTATAGTAAACCTGGTGCCGACATGTTAACGATTATGAGTAGAGTTCCGGATGTCTGGTCCAGCGTCCCGACTGCAAGACACAAGGATCGAGAGTAGAGAAGCTGGCCATCACAGTTCTAAACCCCAAACCCTAAACCCTAAACCCTGAACCCTAAACCCTAACCCTGAACCCTAAACCCTGAACCCTAAACCCTAAATTGCTGATTTGGAGCCGAGGGTCGAGAGTTCACGAAGCAGAAAATTCGCCCTTTTCTCTTCCGAGAGGAATGCTGCCAGGTGTAATATAGAAGCCAAAATCATTACCTATACTATTTTGGGGGCTCCTTGTTATAATTCTAGCTATTAAGGCCCCTACATTAGGGTTGGCGGTTTAGGGCCGGGGCAGACTGGCATGTGATCTAGGACATTTTCAGGGTGGATGGAAGGTCTATATACCCTAATAGAAGCCTTGTAGAAGCCCTAAAAAACTTATAGAAGCCTCATAGAAGCCCTATATATACCCTAAACTCCCCCACTTTAAATGTGGGGCAGTCTGCCTTGCCCAGGCTGGGGGGAAGGCCGCGACCACGACGAGTGCATGCAGGAAGGCGTTCACAGCTTTCCGACAGTGCGATTCTACAGCAGCTGCGTCTGATATAGGTTTAGGGTTCAGGGTGTAGGGTGTAGGGTTTAGGGTTTAGGGTTTAGGGCGATTCTACAGCAGCTACGTCTGATATAGCTCGTAAAAAGGTTCCGTCTAAGGCGCTATAGACTGACGAGTTGGAGCAAGCCCCGGCAACAACCAACACAGCTCGGAACGGTGTAAAGTCTAGTCTTTCAAGCAACTCTTCCAACTTGGGGCTTCGAAGGCATTTTGCCGCGAATGTTCGACATGCATGACAGTCACGTTGATCATGACGGTACTTTAGCAGAACAGGTATCAGGTACGAGAGTCGCCATAATGGCATCCAGTATCACATCGTAGCAGTTCGGCGACGAATAGTACTGGTCGTCGTGTTGATTTCGAAAAAGGAGGAGGAGGAGGACGCGGCAGCATGGTCATAATTATATATTGCGTAACATATAGCTTGCAATAGCATGTAATATGCAACATAGAATACCCAATCTGTGGTACATTCTTTTTGATGTGTAATTATTTTGTAATGCATCATGTACCTGCGCAGGTCCAGGGTCGAGGTTTTAGGGTTCTAAGCCCTCAGCCCTGAACGCTCCTAAACCCTAAACCATCCTAACCCCTGAGCCCTAAACCGTTAACCTTGAACCTCAACTGTAAGCCCTCAGCCGTAAACCCTACACCCTACATGGTTTATGGTAAACCCCAACAAGTTGGAAACCGGATTAATGACAAATCGTGCTGGGATTCCCTATACATGACTTTTAACGATTGAGGCAGTTGGGTTTCCAACTTTTGGGCTTCTACTGTACTGCGATTTTAAAGCTCTAAACCCTAAACCCTAATCCCCTAGCCCCCTAAACCCTAAACCCTAAACCCTAAACCCTAACCTCTAAACCCTACATGGTTTAGAGCCTAGGCAAGTCCGGGAAGAAGTTCGCCGATTTCACGGACGAGCGCACGCCTGCGAAGCTGCTTGGGCCAGGGCCTTGGCACCAAGCCGGAGGATTCCAGGAGGGGTTCATCTAGGCGCCTAAATTTACCTATACTATTTTGGGGGTTCCTTATTATATGTATAGTTGAATGGGCCCCAAAACCATCTTCTATTTATTCAGGCCCCTACATTAGGGTGTCAGGGTTTTAGGTTTTGGGGGATCTGGGGCTTAAGGGTGCAGGGTTTAGGGATTTAAGCTTTCAGGGTTTTAGGGTTCTGGCTTTAGGGTTTATGGTTCGCCCGGATAGCACTGTTGCAATAAACTTACATTGTCATGGTTTAGGGTTTAGGGTTTAGGGTTTAGGGTTTAGAGTTGTTTCCAGACGGCATGTTCTTCTTGTGCCGCGCCACGCCAGTTGGAATGCATTCATTGCAGTACGACACCCAACGTTACCGGGGCTTTGCTTGCACTCTGGCACCGTATGATGTAGTCTGTCATATGCGGGCATCGAGGACGTCCACTGCTACTACTTCTATGCTTCAGGATCTTACGGTTCTTTCTGTACATGTGTGTATATAGCGAACACGCAGTGAACTGGATATGTACTTAGTAGTTGGCAGCGTGCATACAGCAAACACCCATGAGCTTAACGGCCCTAACTGTTCGTGCATGTGTATATAGATATATACACATATATACTTTATATATACGTATATACACACATACATGTATACATACATGTATAGATGTGTGCATATATATATATATATGCACATGTATATATGCGTGTGTATGTATGTATATATATATATACATATATATATATATGACACACTACTTGCGCATCACGATGCCTTGGTGGAGGGGGGTAGGTACCCCTACCCACCTCCCCCCCACCCTCACTAAGGTTCCTTATGAATCTGCTAAGGTGCGATCCGGAGACTTAAGGTAAACGGTGAGCGCTGTAGCCTTCATATAGAGGTCTCCATACCTATCAATGAAGTTTGCTGATTGCAGCTCCTGCATATCAGCAGCTAGTTGTAACCTATAATATACTCCACAACCCTCTGTTACTCAAGAACCAAGGCCCTTTCGTGACACTATAAGCCTCTGTGTCGGTCCCTCGATTTTTGTCCGTTAGGTTCGCAGAGCAGCACGCCACCCCGCACGAGAGACCGGCGCCCCTCGAGGCGACCAACAGTCGGAGTATGGGCTTAGGGCTCAGGGTTTAGGTTTAGGGTTTAGGGTTTAGGGTTGAGGGTTTAGGGTTGAGGGGTTGAGGGGTTGAGGGGGTTAAGGGGGTTGAGGGGTTTAGGGTTTAGGGCTTGGAGTTTAGGGTTTAGGGTA